AAATATTTCTAATGATAAAAAGTAACCATGTCCTCCCAGTATAAAATCCCAGATAATTTGTTTATATCGAAGTAACATTGTCATATCTGTTACAGGTTTATCTTGATCAAGATCGTACGTAACTAGTTTAAAGACGAAACATATATATATAATTCAAACAGTATCAGGTGTAAATGAAAGTGTTTGTTTTTATTTGACTTGATGTTTAAGATAAATCCTTTTGTATCTTGTGTATATCGTTACAATCCGGCAGCAAAAACGATAATGACACTATGACACTATGACGGAAGGTGCATACATAGAAGGAGAAGCGTACCTGTGGAAGAATCCAGCAGCAGAACGATAATGATATAATGGCGGTAAGTGAATACATAGAAGAAAAAGCGTAACCTGTGGAAGAATCTGGCAGCAGAAACAATAATGATACTTTTGCGGGTGGTGAATACATAGAAGGAGAAGTGTAACCTGTGCAGCAGAAACGATGATGATACTATGGCAGGTGGTAAATACAATGAAAGAGAAGCGTAACCTATGGAAGAATCCTACAGCAGAACGATAATGATCCTATGGCGGGTGATGAAAACATAGAAAGAGAAGCGTACATGTGGAAGAATCTTGCAGCAGAACGATAATGATAATATGGCGGTTTGTGAATACACAGAAAGAGAAGCGTACACTGCGGAAGCATCTGGCAGCAGAAACATAATGATATTATGGCGGATAGTGAATACATAGAAGGAAAAAATACATGTGGAAGCATCTGGCAGCAGAAACATAATGATATTATGGCGATTAGTGAATACATAGAAGGAAAAGCGTACATTTGGAAGAATCCGGCAGCAGAAACGATAATGATAATATGGCAGGTGGTGAATCTAAAGAGAGAGAAGCGTAACCTGTGGATAAATCCGGCAGCAAAAACGACAATGATACTATGGCAGGTGGTGAATACAAAGTAAAAGAAGCGTGACCTGTTTACAAATCCGGCAACAGAAACGATAATGATACTATGGCGGGTGGTGAATACATAGAAAGGGCGCGTAACCTGTGGAAGAATCTGGCAGCAGTAACAATAATGATACTACGGCGGGTGGTGAATACATAGAAGGAGAAGCGTACCCTGCGGAAGAATCTGGAAGCAGAACGATAATAATACTATGGCAGGTGGTGAATACATAGAAGGAGAAGCGTACCCTGCGGAAGAATCTGGAAGCAGAAACATTAATGATACTATGGCAGGTGGTGAATACATAGAAGGAGAAGCGTAACCTGTGAAAGAATCTGGAAGCAGAAACATTAATGATACTATGGCAGGTGGTGAATACATAGAGAGAGAAGCGTAACCTGTGGACAAATCCGGCAGCAGAAACGATAATGATCCTATGGCGGGTGGTGCATACATAGAAAGAGAAGCTTAACATGTGGAAGAATCTTGCAGCAAAACGATAATGATCCTATGGCGGTTGATGAAAACATAGAAGGAAAAGAGTACATGTGGAAGAATCGGACAGCAGAAACGATAATGATACTATGGCAAGTGGTGAATACATAGAAGAAGAAGCGTACATGTGGAAGAATCCGGCAGCAGAAACGATAATGATACTATGGCGGGTGGTGAATACATAGAAGGAGAAGCGTAACCTGTTGAAGTATCTGGCAGCAGAAATGATAATGATACTTTGGCGGGTGTGAATACATAGAAGGAGAAGCGTAACCTGTGGAAGAATCGGACAGCAGAAACGATAATGATACTATGGCGGATAATGAAAACATAGAAGGAAAAAATACATGTGGAATCATCCGGCAGCAGAAACGATAATGATACTATGGCGGAAGGTGCATATATAGAAGGAGAAGCGCTCATGTGGAAGAATCTGGCAGCAGAACGATAGTTATACTATGGCGGGTGGTGACTACATAGAAGAAGAAGCGTACATGTGGAAGAATCCGACTGCAGAAACGATAATGATATTATGGCGGGTGGTGAATACATAGAAGGAGAAGCGTACACTGCGGAAGAATCCGGCAGCAGAACGATAATGATCCTATGGCGGGTGATGAAAACATAGAAGGAGAAGCGAACATGTGAAAGAATCTTGCAGCAGAAACAATAATGATACTATGGCGGGTGGTGAATACAAAGAAAGAGAAGCTTAACATGTGGAAGAATCCTACAGCAGAACGATAATGATCCTATGGCGGGTGATGAAAACATAGAAGGAGAAGCGAACATGTGAAAGAATCTTGCAGCAGAAACAATAATGATACTATGGCGGGTGATGAAAACATAGAAAGAGAAGCGTACATGTGGAAGAATCTTGCAGCAGAACGATAATGATAATATGGCGGGTTGTGAATACACAGAAAGAGAAGCATCTGGCAGCAGAAACATAATGATATTATGGCGGATAGTGAATACATAGAAGGAATAAATACATGTGGAAGCATCTGGCAGCAGAAACATAATTATATTATGGCGGATAGTGAATACATAGAAGGAAAAGCGTACATGTGGAAGAATCCGGCAGCAGAAACGACAATGATACTATGGCAGGTGGTGAATCTAAAGAGAGAGAAGCGTAACCTGTTTACAAATCCGGCAGCAGAAACGATAATGATACTATGGCGGGTGGTGAATACATAGAAGGAGAAGGGTACCCTGTGGAAGAATCCGGAAGCAGAAACATGAATGATACTATGGCAGGTGGTGAATACAAAGAGAGAGAAGCGTAACCTGTGGACAAATCTGGCAGCAGAAACGATAATGATCCTATGGCGGTTGATGAAAACATCGAAGAAAAGAGTACATGTGGAAGAATCGGACAGCAGAAACGATTATGATACTATGGCAATGGTGAATACATAGAAGAAGAAGCGTACATGTGGAAGAATCTGGCAGCAGAAACAATAATGATACTACGGCGGGTGGTGAATACATAGAAGGAGAAGCTTACATGTGGAAGAATCCGGCAGCAGAAGCGATAATGATACTATGGCGGGTGGTGAATACATAGAATGAGAAGCGTAACCTGTTGAAGTATCTGGCAGCAGAAATGATAATGATACTTTGGCGGGTGGTGAATACATAGAAGGAGAAGCGTAACCTGTGGAAGAATCGGACAGCAGAAACGATAATGATACTATGGTGGATAATGAAAACATAGAAGGAAAAAATATATGTGGAATCATCCGGCAGCAGAAACCATATTGATACTATGGCGGGAGGTGCATATATAGAAGGAGAAGCGCTCATGTGGAAGAATCTGGCAGCAGAACGATAGTTATACTATGGCGGGTGGTGAATACATAGAAGGAAAAGCGTACATGTGGAAGAATCGGACAGCAGAAAGATAATGATACTATGGCGGGTGATGAATACATAGAAGAAGAAGCGTACATGTGGAAGAATCCGACTGCAGAAACGATAATGATATTATGGCGGGTGGTGAATACATAGAAGGAGAAGCGTACACTGCTGAAGAATCTGGCAGCAGTAACGATATTGATACTATGCCGGGTGGTGAATACATAGAAGGAGAAGCGTAACCTGTGGAAGAATCGGACAGCAGAAACGATAATGATACTATGGCGGATAATGAAAACATAGAAGGAAAAAATACATGTGGAATCATCCGGCAGCAGAAACGATAATGATACTATGGCGGAAGGTGCATATATAGAAGGAGAAGCGCTCATGTGGAAGAATCTGGCAGCAGAACGATAGTTATACTATGGCGGGTGGTGAATACATAGAAGAAGAAGCGTACATGTGGAAGAATCCGACTGCAGAAACGATAATGATATTATGGCGGGTGGTGAATACACAGAAAGAGAAGCGAACACTGCGGAAAAATCCGGCAGCAGAACGATAATGATCCAATGGCGGTTGATGAAAACATAGAAGGAGAAGCGTACATGTGGAAGAATCTTGCAGCAGAAACGATAATGATAATATGGCGGGTGGTGAATATATAGAAGGAGAAGCGTACATGTGGAAGAATCTTGCAGCAGAAACCATTATGATACTATGCCGGGTGTTGAATACATAGAAGGAGAAGCTTAACATGTGGAAAAATCCTACAGCAGAACGATAATGATCCTATGGCGGGTGATGAAAACATAGAAGGAGAAGCGAACATGTGGAAGAATCTTGCAGCAGAAACAATAATGATCCTATGGCAGGTGGTGAATATATAGAAGGAGAAGCGTACATGTGGAAGAATCCGGCAGCAGAAACGATAGTGATACTATGGCAGGTGGTGAATATATAGAAGGAGAAGCGTACATGTGGAAGAATCGGACAGCAGAAACCATATTGATACTATGGCAGGTGGTGAATACATAGAAGGAGAAGCTTACATGTGGAAGAATCCGGCAGCAGAAACGATAGTGATACTTTGGCGGGTGGTGAATACATAGAAGGAGAGGCGTACATGTGGAAGAATCCGGCAGTAGAAACAATAATGATACTATGCCGGGTGGTGAATACATAGAAGGAGAAGCTTACATATGGAATCATCCGGCAGCAGAAATGATAATGATACTTTGGCGGGTGATGAAGACATAGAAGAAAAAGCGTACATGTGGAAGAATCTAGCAGCAGAACGATAGTGATACTATGGCGGGTGGTGATAAAATAGAAGTAGAAGCTTACATGTGGAAGAATCTGGTCTTCGTATTTTTGGAGTTCATGCGATTATATTCGTATTTTTGGATTTCTTTACTTCTCATCATTTTATCATACGTGTGCCGGAAGTCGAATTCGGTATTCTTTACTTATCATTACTGTGGATTCATTATTATTCGTTGGATACCAATTTTCGTGGATTTCGGTATTCTTTACTTCTCATTATTTTATCATACATGTGCCGGAAGTAGAATTCGGTATTTTTTACTTCTCATTATTTTATCATACGTGTTCCGGAAGTCGGACTAGGTATACCTTACTTCTCATTACTGTATAGTAAGTGTACTGGAAGTAAGATATTTGTAAAACTTACGTTCTGGTGTGTCCATGTTATATTGAATGGTAACCCATCTATATGAGCTATAAGACACTGAAGTTCGACTTTGTCATTAGGCAAAACAATGCGGTCCTGCGGTTTAACCGTCATTACTGGTATAGCTGAAAGATGTGAAATTCATTTTAATTATATATTCATAGGGAAGGGGATAAAAAACAATTAGTCAAAGAAAAACAGACATTGCCATGGTCAAAACAAAACGACGATAACACAAATTTACAAGAGTCTTATCGATGATTGATCATTTACAAAAGGCTTAACTCAGAAAAATGTCTTATTGATGATTGATAATTTACAACAGGCGTTACTCAGACAAGTGTCTTATTGATGAATGATCATTTACAATAGGCGTAACTCAGACAAGTGTCTTATTGATGATTGATAATTTACAACAGGCCTAACTCAGACAAGTGTCTTATTGATGATTGATAATTTACAATAGGCTTACCTCAGACAAATGTCTTATTGATGATTGATAATTTACAATACGCGTAACTCAGACAAGTGTTTTATTTATGAATGATAATTTACAACAGGCTTAACTCATACAAGTGTCTTATTGATGATTGATAATTTACAACAGGCTTTATTCATACAAGTGTCTTACTGATGATTGATAATCTACAACAGGCTTAACTCAGACAAGTGTCTTATTGATGATTGATAATTTACAATAGGCGTAACTCATACAAGTGTCTTTATTGATGATTGATAATTTACAACAAGCTTAACTCAGACAAGTGTCTTATTGATGACTGATAATTTACAATGCACGTCGCTCAAACAAGTGTCTTATTAATGATTGATAAATTACAACATGCTGAACTCAGACCAGTGTCCTATCGATTAGAAGTTAATTTACCATAGACTTAACACAGACAAGTGTCTTGTTGATGACTGATAATTTAAAACAGGCGTAACTAAGACAAGTGTCTTATTGATGATTGATAATTTACAACAGGCGTAGCTCAGACAAGTGTCTTACTGATGAATGATAATTAACAACATGCTGAACTCAGACAAATGTCTTATTGATGATTGATAATTTACAACATAATTAACTCAGACAAGTGTCTTATTGATGAATGATAATTTACAATAGGCTGAACTCAGACAAGTGTCTTATTGATGATTGATAATTTACAATAGGCTATACTTATACAACTGTATTATTGATGAATGATAATTTACTATAGGCTTAACTCAGACAAGTGTCTTATTGATGATTGATAATTTACAACAGGCTTTATTCATACACGTGTCTTATTGATGAATGATAATTTACAACCGGCTTAAATCAGACAAGTGTCTTATTGATGATTGATAATTTACAATAAGCTTAACTCAGACAAGTGTCTTATTGATGAATGATAATTTACATTAGTAGCTCAGACAAGTGTCTTATTAATGAATAATAATTAACAATAGACTTAACTCAGACTAGTTTCTTATTGTTGAATGATAATTTACAATACGCGTAGCTCAGACCTACCGAATTAGAATTATTACCAGGTTTATACTAACATGAGCAACACGACGCGTGCCACATGTGGAGCAGGATCTGTTTACCCTTCTGGAGCAACTGAAATCACCCCAATTTTTTAGTGGGGTTCGTGTTGCTCAGTCTTTAGTTTTCCATGTTGTGTTTTGTGTACTATTGTATGTCTGTTGGTCTTCTTTTTTACCAATGGCGTTGTCAGATTATTTTCGACTTATGACTTTGAATGTCCCTGTGGTATCTTTCGCCTCTCTTTTTCATGTTCTTATTGATGAATGATAATTTACAATTAACTTAACTCAGACAAGTGTCTTATTGATGATTGATATTTAAAAATTATACATGACTAAAGAAACGTTTGCTATTGTAGGATAACACATTAGAAACTGGCTCTTTCTATAATGATATATACTTACATATATGAATGATATTTATACAAATGTAAATTACCAGTAGAACTTCATTTTCAGTCATTGCATGATAGCAAAGATATAAATAGGGATGTTATTGTCTTAACAATATTTACTTTGCTTCAAATGAAGCATTACAAGTGTTAAATCTTTTAGCTTACCCTGACTAAGGAATCCACACAGCTTTGGGTTGCAGTAATTTTTATTACAACACCTTACACAATAGTTCTTATCTGGTATGCTTAAGTCAGCCTCTAATGCTCTGCATAACTGAAATTAAAAGTTTCTTGTATGTTTTAGGTATAAATGTAACCCTTATGAACTATTCTACAGCTCGTATGTTTTTTCCACCTGTCCACCGTGGGGAAACCCACTCAAGATTTATTAAAGGTTTTGTATAAATTCTGAATGCAATAGATTATTTCAAATTTCTATGGTATTATTTATAGTTCAATTCTTTCGAATTAAGAACCATTGCAATATAATACTATTTTTTGCAAACATTTCATTATGTTTCCAAAGACAAATTCAAACAAAATAATCCGGGAGTTTTTTTTTTTTTTTCCATAATGTCAAACCCTTACACTGAAAAAAAAAGCAAAGAAAATATTGTCGGAAATAAGGGGAAACGACATCTTCGTTAAAATGATCAGATTTCCAACAGACGATATATGTTATAATGATTGGCAAGCGGTAAAAGGACCTAGATTTGGTGTGTGGACAGGAAGAGCGTATCCTGCGTTGTATGCATCACCCTCCATGTGGATGCAGACTCCGTCCCAAAAAAAGTAATAACAGGAAACAGAATAACCCGGTAAATATTCGAATAAAAAGATGATTATGGTTGTTTTAGTAACAACATATACTTTTCATTTTTTTTTTTTTTTTTTTGTGTGAAAACGGAACAATAATATACTCACAGAACGGAACAGTAATATACTCAAATAACGGAACAATAATGTTCTCACAGAACGGGACAATAATGTACTCACAGAACGGAACAATGATATACTCAAAGAACGGAACAATGATATAATCACAGAACGGACAAATGATATACGCACAGAACGGAACAATAATATACTCACAGAACTGAACAATGATATACTCACAAAACGGAACAATTATATACTCACAGCTTTTGGACCACATCCTAGTGTGTACCTCAATTCGTAGTTTGTAGTTAAAAGTCGCATATTTGTTTGGCATTCCTGTCAAAAATGAATGCTACTTTAAACTTTATTTAAGGATGTTCGCTTCTCTGTTTCAAAGTGACACGCTTTTTAAAAGACTGTTATAAATTGATAGTGTATAAACAACGGAACTTAAAAAGTAGAAAAAAATGACAGGTCCGTGTTCTTGATATATAATCAATTGAAAAATTGGCGGGAAATAATTCTCGTTACAATTTTCATACATTAACATTTGCATCAACCTTTCATCTTTTAAAAACCACGAAAAAATGACACGGTGATAGGCAATAACGGTTAAAATCGTCATTAAAGGCCAATAACTCCTAAAAGATTTCGTCTGACGATTTTGGTCATTTAACTTTTTTTAGACCTTGTCATGCTGATCATTTTAGCTATTCAAACTTTTCTGCATCTGGTTTTCAAGATAATACGCAATAAGGAAAAAAAAATAGTAAAATTCTACATTTAAGGGCAATCACTTCTGAAATAAGTCGTCTTACAGTTTTGATGTAAACGGACAGTCAACATTTCTGTCTTTATCAGATTTTCTCTTTATAAAACAGTTTTCAAGATAATAGACAAAACTTGCATTTAATTCCTATGTTCTATTTTTAGCGATGTCAGCCATGTTGGTTGACAGGCATCGGACACATTTGTCAACTACATGTAGATACCGTACTGATGATTGTGGTCAACTTTGGTTAAAGTTGGCCAAGTATTTTCAGAGAAAATGCTTAATGTAAAATTTAAGGGACGACGGACGTCAAGTGATTAGAAAATTTCATTTGGCCCTTTGGACCAGGTGAGCTATAACGTACTTGGTCTATTCCACATAAAACTGTGTTGGTACAGTGTTCTGGCACCAGTACGTCATTACATGCGAAGCATTCTATATGATTCGAAATTACAGCTGAAAAAGAAACCAAAAGATTAAATTTGCTTCAAACATAATTACAACTGCATTATTAAGTCAAAATATCGTTTACATATAACAAACAACAACGGGACTGACTAGGTGAGTGTCGTTTACATATAGCACACAACAATGGAACTGACTAGGTGAATGTTGTTTACATATAACACACAACAATGGAACTGTCTAGGTGACTATGTGAATGTCGTTTACATATAACACACAACAATGGAACTAACTAGGTGACTAGGTGAATGTCGTTTACATATAACATACAACAACGGAACTGACTAGGTAAAAATCGTTTATATATAACAAACAACAACGGAACTGACTTGGCGAATTTCGTTTACATATAACAAACAACAACGGAACTGACTAGGTGAATGTCGTTTACATATAACAAACAACAACGGAACTGACTAGGTGAATGTCGTTTACATATAACAAACAACAACGGAACTGACTAGGTGAATGACGTTTACATATAACACACAACAACGGAACTGACTAGGTGAATGTCGTTTACATATAACAAACAACAACGGAACTGACTTGGTGAATGTCGTTTACATATAACAAACAACAACGGAACTGACTTGGTGAATGTCGTTTACATATAACAAACAACAACGGAACTGACTAGGTGAATGTCGTTAACATATAACAAACAACAACGGAACTGACTAGGTGAATGTCGTTTACATATAACAAACACCAACGGAACTGACTTTGGTGAATGTCGTTTACATATAACACACAACAACGGAACTGACTAGGTGAATGTCGTTAACATATAACACACAACAATGGAACTGACTAGGTGAATGTCGTTTACATATAACACACAACAACGGAACTGACTAGGTGAATGACGTTTACATATTACACACAACAACAGAACTGACTAGGTGAATGACGTTTACATATAACAAACAACAACGGAACTGACTAGGTGAATGTCGTTAACATATAACACACAACAATGGAACTGACTAGGTGAATGTCGTTTACATATAACACACAACAACGGAACTGACTAGGTGAATGTCGTTTCCTCTGCTGGTGGAGTTTTTATTCCCCGAGGGTATCACCAGCCCAGTAGTCAGCACTTCTGGGTTGACATGAATTATCATTGATATGGTCATAATTATAAATTAACTGTTTACAAAACTTTGAATTTTTGAAATACTAAGGCTTTTCTACCTCAGGAATAGATAACCTTAGCTGTATTTGGCAAAATTTTTAGGAATTTTTGGTACTCAATGCTCATCTACTTCGTTCTTTATTTGGCCTTTTTAACTTTTTTTTTATTTGAGCGTCACTGATGAGTCTGTTGTAGACGAAACGCGCGTCTGGTGCAAATACAAAATTTCAATCCTGGTATCTATGATGAAATTATTTACATATAACACACAACAATGGAACTGGCTAGGTTAACGTCGTTTACATATAACACACAACAACGGAACTGACTAGGTGAATGTCGTTTACATATAACACACAACACGTGACGGAACTGACTAGGTAATTGTCGTTTACATATGACACACAACAACGGAACTGACTAGGTGAATGTCGTTTACATATAACACACAACACGTGCCGGAACTGACTAGGTAAATATCGTTTACATATGACACACAACAACAGAACTGACTAGGTGAATGTCGTTTACATATAACACACAACAGCGGAACTGACTAGGTGAATGTCGTTTACATATAACAAACAACAACAGAACTGGCTAGGTGAATGACGTTTACATATAACACACAACAACGGAACTGACTGGGTAAATGTCGTTTACATATAACAAACAACAACAGAACTGGCTAGGTGAATGACGTTTACATATAACACACAACAACGGAACTGACTAGGTGAATGTCGTTTACATATAACACACAACAACGGAACTGACTAGGTGAATGTCGTTTACATATAACACACAACAACGGAACTGACTAGGTGAATGTCGTTTACATATAACACACAACACGTGACGGAACTGACTGGGTGAATGTCGTTTACATATAACAAACAACAACAGAACTGACTAGGTGAATATCGTTTACATATAACAAACAACAACGGAACTGACTGGGTGAATGTCGTTTACATATAACACACAACACGTGACGGAACTGACTGGGTGAATGTCGTTTACATATGACACACAACAACGGAACTGACTATGTGAATGTCGTTTACATATAACACACAACAACGGAACTGACTAGGTGAATGTCGTTTACATATAACACACAACACGTGACGGAACTGACTGGGTGAATGTCGTTTACATATAACAAACAACAACAGAACTGACTAGGTGAATATCGTTTACATATAACAAACAACAACGGAACTGACTGGGTGAATATCGTTTACATATAACACACAACACGTGACGGAACTGACTGGGTGAATGTCGTTTACATATGACACACAACAACGGAACTGATTAGGTGAATGTCGTTTACATATAACAAACAACTACGGAACTGACTGGGTGAATATCGTTTTTTCAAATGTACCGAGGAACTTTTATGATATAATATCCTTTGGCGCTGTTTTAGATATATGTGTGTAGTCAAATATGTAATTATCAAAACACTTACGTTGTTTAGTACAAAGATGTTTATTACAGAATTGAGAGTTACAACACTGTAGACAGTTCACAAATGCTCTTTTATGTCTTCCTGTAGATCTTTTCCGTCCAATTTGTGACAGCTGTTTACACACCTAAAATGAAGTATTATGCAAATATTTGTACTAAATATAGAAAAAATCATGTTGCCTGTTTTATGAAAATATTATGTTTTAAGGACTGATTTAGTATTATTATGAACAAAATTTAATAATCAAAGATAGTGCAATTTTAGTCTTTGAACAAAAAAAATCGTGTTATAATTCTTATATGATTTGCATATGTACAAATACTTGAATCGGATTGATCTGTTATAATTCTTTCTCTTGGTAGAGTTCGAGCTTTGCACTGGCTAATATCACATAAATATAAGGTCTGCCAAAATGGCATCAGGAATGATTGAACCAATTCCATTTTACTTGTAATTGTCAGAATAGAAAGTAGAACGGAAAGTTGTCAGAGCTTTTTAAGCAACAATTGGTCACATGATTTGTAAGCAGCACAGTGTCACATGATCTGTAAGCAACACATGGTCACATGATCTGTAAGCAACACATGATCACATAATCTGTAAGCAACAATTGGTCACATGATTTGTAAGCAACACAGTGTCACATGATCTGTAAGCAACACATGGTCACATAATAGAAAAAAAGGATATGGGGTATCCATCCTTGACACAAAATCAGTACATGCACAGCAAAAAGCATAGTCTGTATTTCAATCCCATTACTTACTTTAGTAAGATTTATTTGCTCTACGAAACATACCATACTTGCTCACATTTTGATTTATATATAGTTTACAAAAATATCTTTGCACTAATTCTTTTCAAGTGTGTAAAACACGTATCAATCAAACAAACACATAAAGAATATAACAAACACTCCTGCAAACAGTCACTATTGGTACATATGACGTACATCTTTGGAAATACATCCCGACTCGTATATTACATTACCAACTGTTCCGACACTTCGTCTTGCATAACACTCCTATAATAATTGAAACAAAACAGTTGCAATTATAATGATTAAATCGAGTATGGCGAATCAATTCACGATGCAAAATTCCTACATACACTCGACAGGAAAAAAAAACAATATTCGCATTGCTTTGCTTTATTTCATAGTCACACTGAAGCACGAAGCAAAACTTACATCGTACTACTGATCTGATAATACCTAAGTGTGTCAGTGATTGAGTACTGACATGATTTATAACAAACCTTTCTGAAATTAAATTTATAAATTGTTAGGAGATTTGAGGATTTTAAGACAAATTTAAGAAGTCTTTCGCCGATTTCATGTGCTTTCTGTACAAATGTTCACCTATTTTGAAAGATTTCATTCTGTATATGTCAGAAAATAAAAGAAATAAATGCATTTGTTTTTTTAGATTTTCAGTTAAACTTCAATGAACGAAATGTAGGGTTCGTGTTCCTCAGTCTGAAGTTATCTGTGTAGTGTTTTGTTCGTGTTCCTCAGCCTGAAGTTATCTGTGTAGTGTTTTGTTCGTGTTCCTCAGCCTGAAGTTATCTGTGTAGTGTTTTGTTCGTGTTCCTCAGTCTGAAGTTATCTGTGTAGTGTTTTGTGCACTTCTTTTTCATTTCGTCGGTTTTCGATTTTTTTTTTTTGACGTGGCGTTGTCAGTTTTTCTTCGACTTATAAGTTTGAATGTATCTTAGTTATTTCCCGCATAGTTTTAACATGGCATGGATATGACTGGATATGACTGGATATGACTGGATATGACTGGATATGACATGGATATGACTGGATATGACTGGATATGACTGGAATAATTATAATTAAAAAGAGGCGGAAGATACCAATGTGACATTAAAAACTCATGTCGAATAAAACCGTGACAAAAAAACAAACAAAGATGTGGAAAAAACAAACAATATAAAATCGAGAGATGAGGTGTGATTGCTAAAGACTGAGCAACTGTAACTACACAAAACAGTAAGGGTTATCTCATGTGATCCGTAAGAGTAAGCAAATACTATTCTACTAGTGGGACTCGTCGTGTTACCCAAGGTACGTAAATGTTTGGTGATGTTACAATCGAGACAAAGAGGGCGGGTTGTGGTTACAACAATTATAATTGAATACGCTGGTACGATACACTGTGACTTATGCTGAATAAGTGGTATGATTGCCAATGAGACAACTTTCACAAGAGTTTAAATGTAGTCGATGAAAGAAATTATAGGACACTGAAATGCCTTTAACAATGAAACAAATATATAACCATTTAGAGCGAAGACACAACTCTTACAAACACCTGTTTGTGTCTTTGTGTCAACCATTTTCAAAAATATAAAAAAAATTAGGAAAGATAATTTTATATCTATTTCATATGAATTCTATTCCAAACGCCTGACTGATTGGGTGACCCCCCTTAACACAGATCAACCTCTTGAAAACAGAACATTGTCTCAGCTTAGGTTTTCGCTATGCATGACAAAATATCTGGGTATAAGTCAATTAGACCAATCGAAACATAAAAACCGAACAGAAATATAGTGGAATGCATCTCGAACAATATCCAAGGTTTTATAAAATGACATCCTCGCGTCTTGTCTTTCAAACATTGAAACAAATGTGAATTTATTATTCTCTCTGTTTTCCTGACGAAATATCTTAATTTTGTGTGATTCTTTTTTTTCTTTCAATTTTTACCCTTTTTCTTGTTACTCGTGTATTTACTATCAAATGTTGCAGATTTTAATTCCATCGTTTGCCTAAGAGTGTATACATCTTATTTTTTCATATAAAAATTTTTATAAAATATTTAAGGAATGACTGTAATATTTTTTCTGTCTATGAAGAAATAACATAAAAAATATGGTGCACACTGAATAACCCGCGTAGCGTGTTATTTAAAAGTGTGCACCACATTTTTTATGTTATTTCGAATAGACAGAAAAAATATTAAAGTCATTTCTTATAATTTAATTCTAAAAAGGAGTAAATCATGATAAAAACGTTGATGACGTCGCGGTCACATGACAAAATTATGTCTATGAGCTGATAGACAAAACACTTCCAGCCAATCAGAAGACGTGTTACATCCAAAATTAAATTATTTACACGGATACGTTTGCATTGGCGCGATGACGTCATACTGCTTTCCTTCTTTTGCATTGGTTACGATGACGTCCTACTGCCTCGCTTCTTAGTTTATGAATTATCACATCACTTAAGCGTAACTTGTAATTAGTAACATAAAGGGTACCACTCATACATCAGAAACTGTTCATTCTTCCGGGTCACTGCATTTTTTGCGTTGTTCAATCTCGTAGTAATTTGTGGATGTTGTTTATCTTTATGTTTTTTTTGTCTGTTTTTCTTTAACTGATGTTTTTGATTGACACAAGTTTATCTGCATCCTTTTTTTTTTGTATTGTCCATCGATTCATTTTAACGGATTTTTTCAGTTTTATACATTTTTTACTTTACACCTTTTGCCTCGGTTTCAGTTGATGCATGAATGTATGTACACAAAAGACTGATAATGAATGTTTTTTTTTTGTTATTACCTCGTGCTCACCACAGGTTACTGTGTGCCCACAGTCCTCCATCCGGGGAACACCAGAGCATTTAAAACATTGTACATTAGTCGTGGAATTTGAAGCTACCAATAAAAAAAAAACATTATTGTATAAAAACTGGTCAAATATGATTCTATGGGATCCTAGATTTTCGTTCAGTATGTACCACATGTGAGAACTGAGGAAAACTGTATTTTCGTAGATACTCGATTTAACGTTAGTGGTTTCAATGAACGTGTAATTCATTGAACACTTATGTTCGTGATCAACTTTTATCCATTAAATCCAACAAAACTAGTATAAATTCTATTGAATCAACAGTAAGCTCTTGATGACATATGTTTTTGTCACTTTGTATATATGTAAGTAGAAAAGTTCTTAGAAAAATTATATATGAGGGTCTGGATAAGAGGTCCTTTATTTCTTTATTCTTTAATTTTTTAGATCATTTTTCTCTATTCTTCATGCCCATTATTCTCTATTCTTATATTTTAGCACCCCATTATTCCCTATTCTATATTTGTAGGCATAATTTCCTGTATGTTTTTTTGCACTTTATTCTGCATTTCTTTTACCATTCATTTCTATTCTGTAAACACCACCCAGACCCCCATGTAATTTCTTAATATCTTTCATGCAATCATATAATTTAAATAATTCAGGGTCCTATGAATTTTGAACTTAGAAACTGGCACCGCAACAAATACTTTTAAATAAAAAACTGCGTTCAGGGTTGACTATAATTTCGTGTCTAATTATTCATGCAAATTATATGTAAATGCAGTAGTTTTATCCATGCTTGTTCTATTTATGTAAAATCATTCTTTTCTATGACTAATATCTCAAATGCCATGCATGCATTTTGACATTCTTGCTACTTCTAATATGATTTATATACACACATGAACACAAAATAATGTACAAAGACAACCAATGCATGCAAAAGAGCAAACAAAAGTACAGAAAACTATAAATTGAGATATACGAATCAAACTTCAAACATGAACAGAAAACAGGAGTCAGTTTCACAAAAAATATTACGACTAAAGTTGATCGTCATGAACAACTCAGAACAATTCAAGAATAGAGATCAATCTTAGTCGTACGTTTTTTTTTATGAATCTGTTTCCAGGACTGGGTTGTTTGAAACTTTTATTACTGTCGACAAGTGAATAAAGCAGGTCGAAATCAATGTAACTTATCCAGTGGACTATGCAGTATGGGCTTTGCTCATTGTTGAATGCCGTACGGTGACCTATAGTTGTTAATTTCTGTGTCATTTGATCTCTTGTGGAGAGTTGTCTCATTGGCAACATACCACATCTTCTTTTTTATAAGTCTTATCTATGAGTCAACTGTTTTGACAACTAAGTCCAGTGTGTTTAGGATTATACCAGAATTAGGATTTTATGAAGCGCGTTTCGTCTTCACAAGACTCGTCGAATTAAAAAATGTAATCATTGTCAGTAAAAATAAAGACACCATTTTAAATCGTAAGTACTTTTACTTACCATTTGCTGATATCACTATGGTAATTGTTACAAGAATAAACGCTGTTAACTGTATACCTACATAATACAGAACAAAGTATGAAGTGTTTTGGTTTATATGGCACTTCCAATGGTTCTATCAAATAGATAAAAGAATTACTTTATTCTCTTGTTTTAAAATTTACATCAAACATTGTTAAATTGGAAAAGTTAAGAATTGGATTTGCCATATGATAAAATGCATGGTACCAATTTTTCTGCACCAGATGCACATTTACACAATAAATGTCTCTTCAGTGATACTCGAGGCCACAATTTTGAAAATCCAAAACTAATTAAAAAACAATTAAAAGGTTTTTCTTTGGAGTTTTATGTTCAATTATTTATTTCTGGAGATCCTTAACACCGTGGCCAAACAGACAACACCGTGGACAAATAGACAACTCCGTGGACAAATAGAAACAGACAACACCGTTGCCAAATAAAAACAGACAACACCGTGGCCCAGCAGACAACACCGTGGCCAAACAGACAACACCGTGGACAAATAGACAACTCCGTGGACAAATAGAAACAGACAACACCGTGACCAAATAAAAACAGACAACACCGTGGCCCAGCAGACAACACCGTGGCCAAACAGACAACACCGTGGCCAAACAGACAACACCGTGGCCAAATAGACAACACCGTGGCCAAATAAAAACAGACAACACCGTGGCCAAACAGACAACACCGTGGCAAAATAGAAACAGTGAAGAAAAGACAAACAAGAGTCGACAAAACACTACTACACATAGTCAGATCAAATGATATAAGGCATAATACAAGTTAAACATTAAAAAACTAGACTACATTCTTCTGTATCATTAGAAGCAGCAGTAGTTCAGTAGTTGCGTACGATGCAGTCTGCCACGTTTGTTTCCATTATCAAATAAGGCTATTAGTTGTTACTTTGGTCTCCGTTTTGTTATTCCAAGGTCTATTAAAGCTAACAAAAACATGGTTTTGCTTATCATAGAAGTCTATAGGGTAATCTATACTTGTTTATATACTCGTTTCAATGTTTCACTGTGAATAGTTTTCTCATAGGCAATCATACTACGTCTCATTGTATTTGTGAAGAAGTCTCACTAATATTGTCACAATGTGTCCGAAATTCTCTAAGTAATATCAAAAATAAACAGTACGAATTTCATTTTACCAAAAACAGAAAAAATACAAATATTGATACAACAACGAGGTTCATTTATATATTACTTATATAATGCGATTAAACACGTGGGTTTGTGTTGTTGTGTTTTTTGAAGTCGTGATATTCAATCGTACACAGACTATAGATGCCTATAATATACAGGATTATCTTAATATTCAACTGGTAGCGAGATATAAGGAAGACAGGTCACAAATATAAAAAAGATCCTGTTTTAGTCTGAACAAATCTTTGTTAGTGAAAATAGACACACAAAAATTCGATTAAAAGTTCAATTCTGTATAATTAAAGCTGTCCTTCTGTAACATCGTAACAATTATCAAATGCACAACATTATAAACTTCAGGCTCGACAATACGTTCAGTTAGTCATATATCTTTTACCTGTACCAAGTCAGGAATATGACAGTTGTTATCCATTCGTTTGATGTGTTTGAGCTTTTGATTTTGCCATTTGATTAGAGACTGTCCTTTTTGAATTTTCCTCGGATTTCAGTATTTTTGTGATTTTACTTTTTATTTAACTTTAACCGTAACTGTCCTCTCAAGCTCTTTTCTCTCTTTTTAAGCAATCAATCTACATCGTCTAGTCCTAATACAAGTGTGACGGGATTGCTTCCCTTCATTAGGAGATACTTAGTCAGCCGTAAGCGGTTGATTTAAGGAAGTACTTCTTTAGCTCAGTCGGTATACGCGCTGCATTGTAACACAGAGGTCCCGGGTTCGATTCCCGGAGGAGACAAAGATGATTTTGTAAGAAGAATCATGCTCTCCGGTTACACAAATAAGGATATATATTTACCCTAAAAAGGCAACATTGCCCGGGTGGGACATTTACTTATTGACAAATGAATAATTACTAGGGCACCAAGGCATTAAAGTTTACCAGGGCAACTAGGACATTAAGGAACCATAACATAAGTTTAGTGGGCAACTAGGAAAACATATGCAATTTATTAGGGCTCACTAGTCAAACAAATGAATTTAATATAATGGTGATTATCTTGTCTGGAAAAAAAGCAGGAATAATAACATACGCGGGTTATTTAAAAGTGTGCACCACATTTTTTAGGTTATTTCGAATAGACAGAAAAAATATTACAGTCATTCCTTATAATTTAATTCTAAATTCCATTTTTAAGGAGTAAATTTTGAAGAAAAAAAACGTTGGTGACGTCACGGTCACATGACAAAATTATGTCTATGAGCTGATAGACAAACCACTTTCAGCCAATCAGAAGACGTGTTACATCCAAAATTAAATGAATTTAATATAATGCTGATTATCTTGTCTGGAGTATGAATAATAACAATAATCATTTGGACTGCTTAAAAATTTCTACAATGATTCAGACCGGAAGTAAACAGTTCAACAAAACGTATGATAGGATGTATCTCCACAAAAAATACACCAAAACTGTATAAATATGATAACAAGTCTAAATTGAAAACAACGTTCAAACATATGATTGCGTTGGATACAAACCGCAATTTTTATACGTGTGCATGCAAAACAAATTTCTTGGTAGAGGGGTCTAAATACAGCACAAACAACATTTTCCAAAAGACCAAAAAAGTGAAAAAGTATATTTTAACAAAACGCATTTGACTAGCAGGTCGAACAACGGATGTTCTTAAACCCTGCTGACTGCCATATGATAACATCCAGTAAGGAACTGTTTACTGCTTCAAGACAGTCAGTGTAATGAGGAATATATTTTCACAAAAGAGAGTGAAGAAGATTCCGACCTTGGTTTAGTTAACTTATTTCAATTTAACATGTTGAAATCACCCTTTGAAAAAAAAAAAGAATGATGAAAATGTCCAACTGCAAAGTAAACCAGGTAAACGATGATTCATTTGTTAACATTTTATCTCATCTACTATCCCCTGAGATGAAAGGGGAAAGAAAGAGTCTAAACGTGATTTAATTCACTAACTATTTTAAACTTGGATGAAAAGGAGGAGAAACAATCGTGTTCTTCAACGCCTGAATTATTTGTATTGGTTTTGAATGGAAAGAATTATGTATAAGAGTTAAATAAAAGATGTTGATGAATTCGCTCAGTCTAAGTTTTGAGAACATTCGATATGTATGCCATTGATGCACTATGCTTAGTTTAAAAAAAAATGTAAACAACATGTTATTAACTTCATGCGTCCGAAGCGCTTTACTGGATTTACCCTCATCAGGAACGCTTAAAGTCAAATATTTGTAAGCCGAGGATGTATAAGGACCGAAACAGTTAAAGAGCTATATGACCAAAAATTACCTAAAAATTGCCAAATGCATCTACTGTCAACTTTGCCTGAGGAAGTTGAAACCTTAGTTTTTTTCTTAATTCAAAATTTATAAACAAAAAGTTTTAAGA